CCTAAGCCATCATGCTACTGCTAAACAAACCAATGACACAAATCAGCAGTTAGTGAAGTGTTATATCGCCAATATATTTTTTGCACAAAGTTACATAATGGTCCGTATATGCTGTGCCTGCCGAGGGTATCAAAACTTAATAAGACCTTAGACTTGCTGCTGAGTCTCCGGGGAGAGGGGAATATTTTTTTTAACTAACGCTTGTCTTCGTAAAGACCCGATAAAAGTAAAAATTTGAAAAATTGAGTTTTTTTTTAACATCATGGGTCTATGCGTTTTGATGCATGGTTTTGTATTATTTGATTACAGTATTCAACATTAAGCATATAACTTTGTCAATATATTATTTTCATTAAAACATATTCAATAAAATTAATCTGTTAAATTAAAATAATTCAGCTGACACATGAATTTAAATTGTTGCTATTGTTTTTTCTTAGTGCAAAGCTACACAGTTGGCTGTCTGTACTCTAATAATGGCTGGAGACAGCTTGAATGGGTAATGAAGAAAAACTTTAATATAAGTTTAACATAACAGCAAATGTACAACGTTTCGACAAGGTTTTGTCATCATCAGGTACTCTGTCCACTGCTGGAGAACAAATCCTGGATTTTTAGCATAGTATATCCGTAAACTTATCGAAGACCTATGAGTTTAAGTGCCAAACCTGTAAACATATATTTTTTTATTCTGAACGTAAAGGATCCAATAGGTTTATTTTTCGAATTTTTAGAAGCATAAAACAATAAGTCGTAAATATATTTCATTAATATAAAACATGATACTCAATTAGAACTGCTAAAACAGTCTAATGGGTTTATTTTATTTAATTTTTAGAAGTATTCAAACATTATTCGTAAATATATTTATTCTACATAAAGCTTGATATTAAAATAAGATGATTATTTCCTATATATATAGAAAATAACAAATCATTCAGCAAAATAGGCTTGTTTGCGAAAATGATTTTATATTGTTTTCTTTTAGATGGCACTGGGATCAAATATCTGGATCATGGTGTAGCACGCTGAGAAACTTAAAAATCGTTCACAGACCATATTATATTATATTAGGACTTAGTTGTAGTTAGATGGACGAAATTAATTTAAGTTCGCCGCTGTTACTAAACTTGACTAAACAAAGGAGTGATTTCCAGGTGAGGGTTTATTTTACCCAGACTGTTAAACACAGTAATACTAATACTAAATTCTATAGCCTAGGCTAGAGTAAACATACTAATGGTAATAACTATACTGTTAGTATTACTATAGTATATAGTATTTATAAAGTTGTAGTACTAGTAATCAATATACTAACGCTTGCAATGACAGTGTTACCACAACTAGGCACTACGACAAGAATATTAAACTTCAAAATTTTCTAGAAGTTCAACTCACAACAACTTGATCTTTGAAAAAGCCTATTTTCACACTGCAACAAGTAGTTGTGATATTCACTCACTGCCACAATTTCTGTCAAACGTGAGAGAATGTATATTATCATTACTGCAATTTGTGCAAAACAGTTCCTCAACATTCTTACACTTACAAGTTACAGTTTAGCAGAAAAACTTTTTAAAGAACAGGCTACAAATTCTGCTCTGGTCAGCAGTTCTAAATTAGGGTAGCAATTGAACCTTGTGGTCTTTAGACTTTAAACCTGGTCATTTAGGCCATGTTCGCTTAATGAACTGTTCAGATTAAAAGTACTAAATACCAGCAAGTCTGACATGAATTCCGATAACATGTATATTGTGAAAATTACTTGTAATCGTACTGGAAAATATATTTACTTATTATATTTGAGCAAAATCAAGATCTTGTATGCCGTAGTGAATCACTTAAATTTTAATTAATTATTCGAAAAAGATAACTTCATTCATCAAATCTAGTTAAAACTAGTACTAGTAAAAGTCCTAAAGACTCAGAAACTCATTGCTGCCAAAACTGTGATTGAATGATAATTGATTTTTAAAAGGAGTACAGTGTAAAAGATATGTTAAAAAATAAATAGTTGTGATATTTGAGAGTGCATGCCATATATTCATGCACAGATTAAAAATGACAGAGTAATCAAAATTATCAAATGGTACATTTAATGATTTACAATAAAACTAAGACCTGAAATAAAATTTGTGTTCATTGACTCTCACACTTACAAAATACAATGAATACCTGTATTAACAATAACATTGGGCAAAAACTTTGGGATTATAAATGAGGGTTCACACTTGTATTCATAGCCTAGGGAACAAAATCTATCAGTTCTCTTTCCAGTGTTATATAACATGAAATATACTTATTAGCTTTTTACTGATAATACGAGACTAATTTTTGTATTTTCAATTTGTTTTGGAGTTTTTGAAGTACTCTTTGTTTGATATGATACAGGTACAATAAGATAGGATTGAGTTACTTTTTTAAATCCCCAACTGTTTCATGAATATGTAATTTAAAACCTGTAACAAGCTGAAAATACATGTAATACCTCTCAGTGGTATCAGTACAAATTTTCAGTAGACTACTGAACTAAAACTAATTCTTCATTATAAACAATTTTCATTACCTTTATGTGATAAATCTAGAAAAGATTCTTATCTCATTGTATTATAAATTACATATGATTCAGTGGAATAAATCCTAGAAAAACCAAGGTCTCTCACCCACCAAATTATGTGATTTTGGGTATTGCTGGTTCTATTATTTTCAATAACAATAATAAACATTAATTAAACTTGCCATAAGAAATTAGTATTAGGCCTATAAATGATTATAGTTTTTTAACACTGCATTTTTTATCTAGTCCCTTAGGGATGTTCAAGAATTGGTTGTAGCTTAAAATGGTAGTTGATACGCATAAAATAATGTACATAATTGCATTTCTATGCATTTCTAATCCAAATGAAAGTAATCTGGCTGAACGTGTTATGAATCCTAATAGCCAGGCCATTCCTTTTGTATCGAACATTAGGGTAGCGTGAAAATAATGACAATGTATATACATAGGGTTACCAGATTTCCGGAGAAGAAAGCTGGGACATCTTTTTTTCTTTTTTTTCATATGGAGTGACACTGTAAAGGCTATGAAACAGTTTGAATTACAATAACATTCTTATTACATTTACTGAATAATCTGAAGTTTATTGCATCAGATTTCAAAACTATAGACAAATAAAATTTCTTAAAAGCTTATCTAATTAAAAAAAAATTATAATAATAAAAACACACCTAAGTTGTCTTGAAAGAAAAATACTGCTTACTTGTTTTTTTCCAGCTTGACAGGTCTTGAAATCTCAATTCCTGCAGCTGCCTAATGACAGATTAGGGTAAGAAAATGTAGCATAGTGGGAGAGAACAGTGTACCATGTGATCTTCTTTGTCAAGTAATTCTCCAAGTAAACTTTAAAGGAACAATGCCTAATGACAAACTGTACATATTACATTCATGTTGAAGTACATAGAAACTTGGCCAAGTTAATACTTTTACCATTTTTGTTAGGAACAAAAATTATAAGTCTAAAACTGGAATGACCCTTTTTTTACTGGGACATCTAGTAACCCTATATATACATATACATATTTTTGTGATATGCTCTTTTGTAATAAATGTTGTAAAATATTTCAAATAAACAAAGAAATTTAAGTTTTTAATAACTTATATATATCAATTTGTTAATATTGGGTAGATTATCATGAAAATAAATAATTACTTAATCAGCCTTTTAATATACTAGTAATACTTCATAGTAAGTATATAAAACTAATTAATAATTAGGCTTAGGTGATTGTGTAGGCATGATAAGTGCATGTTTGCATAGATAATTAGAGAAACAAGTGAACATTAAGAAAATGTGAAATGAAAAGTTACAGAAGGCAATTTGGCTGAGAAGGGGGAGGGCTTACTTCAATAAAAATTAACAAAGCAGGTGGTCTTAATTATAAAGGAGTTTTAAATGTGCCATTTTCAAATGTGATTCTATACCTCTATCATTATCTGAAGTAAAAAGTCCTAGTTTATAACAAGAAATTGATCTAATTTCTCCACTTTCAACTTGTTTTACCCCTCTGCATAACTTGTTTCTTTGATACATATCTTCATGTACTGTAATTATGGCTTCCTATAATCATATATCTACGTCTTTTTGATCTTTACCTTGTTAGCTTTAATTATACCTGAATAATTATATTTTACCATAACACTTGTTCACCTTTCGAACCTTTGGCCAACTGTCATACACGTTCCTTTTGCAGAAGGCTTGTTTGTTACTCATAGCCTGTGTGCATCATTGACTTAAGTTACATACTAGTAATCCTCATTTAACCCTATTCTTTCAGGGCTCATTGTAAATTGATCTTGATTAATGTTTTTCCCCCCTAAAAAAACTTAATTTGCAAATTAGATCCAAAGTGGATTCACTCTTATTTCTTTTCTTCTTGAACATGGCTATTCCGATGCAGGCCAGATCATCTCTTGTTTCATATTCAGGTAATGTATTTATATTGCTTGAACAGAGATATTTTGTCTTTTTCTGGAAAAAATTCACAAATGTCTATTTATTCCATATTATAATCTTTGTCATCTCTTAAATATCAGTTCCTTCCCTCACATTGATGGCTTAGGCTGCTTATTTTCTATGTTGACTCGCATCTGGTCTGTACTTGTACTAAGTTGACTCGCATCTGGTCTGTACTTGTACTAAGTTGACTAGCATCTGGTCTGTACTTCTTTAGTTATTGTATATCCCTGCCTGGAGAAACATTAGCTTCTAATGGATATTTTTAACTTTGGTTATCTACATTAATTTTTAATGTGCTCAAACAACTTTCTTTGCCAGCCTAGCCTGAGGGTAGAGGTTGTAAGCTATGTCTGTGTTTAAATTTTCAGTTTTTTACACTATTGTTGGGTTGGTTGCTCAGTTGAAGAGACAGGAGTTGGTGGGTCTTCTGGACACTCTTTAGTGTTGGATTCATTTTCACTGACTGGGTTATCTGCTTACACACTGTTTATTCCAAATCACCTGGTCAGGATGGCTGTGATTACTTTTGGTACATATTGAGAGTGCCTTTTTACATTTGACTTACAGATCATTAGGAGTATTGTCATGGGACCAGTAATGAGTCTGACTACACTCCCAACTTACCAGTTTAACTCATGCTGAGGCCAGTAAGGTGTGCATAATTTTCTATGGCATCTGTGTCTTTAATTAAATTACAGGTGACGTCTACATAGATCAGCTTACTCAGATATTCTTTTTTTCCAGGAGTTACAGGGGCTTCTCCTTGTTCGTCTCTATTGCGAGGATTATAGCTCAGGTTATGTATGTGTGTAGAGGTATACTACTGTCTTTGAAAGTAACATTTTAGAATTAAAATGAAGTTCTTAGAAATACCTCTACTATAATGGATGCTGTCCTCCTCTGAATTGTGTGATAAGTGACTAAGATATGCTCTTAATTTTCAATAAGAAAACCTTATGTGGTATGTATTATGTAGAAGTGTTGGAACAAATTGAATGTGGAGAAGTTAGGTCTGTTACCTGGTGCAAACTGGGAGGCATTAGCTCAGGTTGTAGTGGAGGTAAGTATCTTTAAGTTTACTTTTAATCTTCAAATATTAATTTGTTTTGAAGGTTGGAAGACCATCTAATAAGGAACAAGAACAATGTGTTGAAGATCAAGATCAGGTTAAAGTAAAAAAAAGAAAGATTTCACAAAGGATGAAAACTATACAAAGGAGCTGAAAAGAACTGAAGACAACAAAACCTCCAATGATGAAACTACACGTACACTCCCTTTCATATCATCTCTTTTTAAACATAATCCTGAAATTCCAGTTGTAGAACTGTAAGTTCCATTGTGTGTTAACATAAAATGTTTTTTCAGCTGAGCTATCAGCCAAATGCTTTAGCTTAATGTGTATCAAAGTGGAAAGAGTTTGTGAACAACAAAGATCTATGCCATTTTTCACTAATCTGAGTATGACGTATTAGTACCATGGGTTATTTATCTTAAACTTGTGCAAGAAACAAAAGTTTTAAATTTTAAGAAAACAATTAAAATGATTGTCTATAGTAAATATCTGACAGAAAAATATAGTGCAAAATTTGAGTTTAATTTTTGCTTTTTACTTTATTGGAAACTCCAGGAGTCATTAATGATATTAACTGAAATATTATCCCTTGGTGGCTAAAGATTTATAACACTAAAAATCAGGTTTCAATGTCCACTGTGAGTACAGCAAAGAGCGTATTGTGTCATTTGTTCTTAACAACAAACAAATTGAAATATGAATCTAAGATTTAAATGGACAGCAACTGTCTGTTGTAGAAACCTACAAATGTAGAAGACAACGTTTCAAAAAAGTCTTCAATTGTTGTCCATTTGAAACTTAGATTCATTATGAATACTCTGCCTAAACAACCTATCAAAGATTAAATTGAAATATTATAGAATTTCTGTTCACATTTATTTATGTGTGTGAAACATACATTATTATGGATCTAATAATCAGCAGAGACATAGTTCTACGAAAAATTGGTACATGATTAATTTAGAATCATGGACTTCATCAAGAATTTTAGGGTCAATTATGGCCAACGTATGTCTAGAATATCTAGATTGAGTTTAATTTAAAAGTTATGATTTAGATATTTTAAATATTCCATGGTTCTGCTAGTTTTCAAAATGAATACATGTCTGATGAAAAAGTAAGCTTATTTAGAAATAACCTTTAATATCATAAATACAGGAAATATGACCAGTTTATAGACTTAGTGATAAAATAGTAAAATATTTAAAATCAAAACCATATGAATTATTTCAGTTTGTTCATCAGAAACTATAATTAAACACACAAATTGTCCAAACTGTTGAATTTAACTTTAAATTTCTTTATGTGAAACATGTTTTAAAGAAATTTTGAATGGATGTCAAGCATCATAAAAGCCCGGCATGGCCGGGTGGTTAGGGCGCTCGATTCGCAATCTGAGGGTCGCGGGTTCGAATCCCCGTCACACAAAACATGCTCGCCCTTTTAGCCGTAGGGGCATTATAATGTGACGGTCAATCCCACTATTCGTTGGTAAAAGAGTAGCCCAAGAGTTGGCGGTGGGTGGTGATGACTAGCTGCCTTCCCTCTAGTCTTACACTGCTAAATTAGGGGATGGTTGGTGTCAGGAAGGGCATCCGGCCGTAAAAACCCTGCCAACACCAAAAATAGCGCCCCCGTATAGATACGGGAAAAAGCTACAGAAGAAGAAGAGTCAAGCATCATAAAATCAGTAGTATTGTTAATATAATCAAAATTGAACAAAAGCATTATCAATTATGTGTGAACACAGAATCGTCATTTGTTAGAACTAACTGTTACTTATCTAGTACAGAAGTGATGTACCAAATGAATTTTATGGTATTGAATAATGATTACTCTGACAAAGATGATCCCTTAATTCATAGTAAATGTTCATTATACATAACTTGTATTAAGACTGGTAGAAACTGAATTACATCCGTATTTACAGTCTAGTACAGTACAGATTTTGTTACATATCTGATTGTGTGTTGACTTTCTTAATACAAGATTGTGAAAGAGAATGAACAAATAATAATTTTACAGTTGTATGTGTACAAATATTTTTTTTTAATTTTTAGTGCTAGTGTTAAGCAGAAAGAAGAGCCATTGTTCTTAGACCAGGAATTTGCAGATCTAAAACTTCACCCCCACTTGGTAAATACCTATATCCATAATAATTGTTTTAGCTTATTTTCTAAAATTAACTGGAGTGAATTTATTGGGAGACAACATGAATGATTTGGCTAACAAGTTTATGCTTACCAGAGTCTAATCTAGGGCTTCAGTTTGGGCATAGTGACATCGTCATGAGAACCCGAAGAAGAATGATTTGGCTAACAAGTTTATACTTACCAGAGTCTAATCTAGGGCTTCAGTTTGGGCATAGTGACATCGTCATGAGAACCCGAAGAAGAATGATTTGGCTAACAAGTTTATACTTACCAGAGTCTAATCTAGGGCTTCAGTTTGGGCATAGTGACATCGTCATGAGAACCCGAAGAAGAATGATTTGGCTAACAAGTTTATACTTACCAGAGTCTAATCTAGTGCTTCAGTTTGGGCATAGTGACATCGTCATGAGAACCCGAAGAAGTTTGCATTTCCTTGCATTGAAGAAGAGGCTAAAAAGAGTACTCAGTGCTTTTATTTAGTAAGCTGCTTCACTGATATATTGGTTACAGATCTGATCACTTTATACAGATCATGGTCAATGGTCTTGAACGAGTAACATTAAATATAGCATTGATTTTATTTCTGTTCAAAGCATGCACCACTGCCTTCAGAAGCTATGTTGAAAAGAGTTGGTGTATTTGAAATTTTACACCTTGTGGAGGAAGTTTACATTCCTTTAACTGTGATGTTATGTAACAGTGTGCACACATTTTTATTCCCTGACAATAAAATGTTTGGTAAAGTGACGAGCATAAGAATAGATATTGGCATTATAGACGTCATGTTGTTAGAGAAGCTGATTTTTATAACACTTGGAGACTTTTGAAGCTAATAACCAAAAATAATGTATCAAAAAGTGTGTTTGAGAAAAAAATAAATTTTTTCTGTAAAATATAATGGCAGAAAATATTTATAAAGCATCTAATAAGTAAGAGCTAGAACTCAGTTACAAAGTTATTTTGAACTAAAACTATTGCTGTAATTGCACAGAATACATCAATATATTATTTTCAGAATTTCTCTTGTATTGAAAAACAACTTCAAAGTACCTTTTGATTGGTCACTTGGTAGGGCAATAATTACTGCTGTTTCTCCTCCTGCTCATCAAATTTTTATGTTTTTTGCCTTTTTGTTTTTTAGCTTTTTTGAGTGGTTCTTGATCAGCCTCTAGCCATTTCCAAAATTATTTTTCATATAAATTGTTCAAAAATCCTTTTAATTTTTCTATAAATGTTTTTTGAAAAAACAAAGCTTTTATAAAACAAAAAATTAATAATTAAAGTGTTCGTAAGAGATGGGCTTGAAACTATATTTGCTGGAATGTGACATAATTTGATTTTCACCTTGGCTACTTTGGTGGATCCTTTCTTTAAAGTAACATTTTTTAAAAGAGCATCAGAGACAAGTAGTGAGACAGTTGGATGGAGAAAGCATTGACTCTACCAGGTGGCACAGATGGCTGCTCTCCATTAGGACCATCACCTGTTAAACTTTTCTGGCAAGACGCACGACTCATTGCCACAGTAAAATATCTACGTACATCTATGACATTAATGATATTGGTTAAACAGGTCATGATAAGTTTTGTAACTGGTAAAATTATTTTATATTTATTACAAAACTTGTCATGACCTGTTTAACCAATATCACTTTATAAGTAATAAATATAAAATAATTTTACCAGTTACAAAACTTGTCATGACCTGTTTGACCAATATCACTTTATAAGTAACGTAATAAAATTATTTTATAATTATTACTTATAAAGTGATATTGGTCAAACAGGTCATGACAAGTTTTGTAACTGGTAAAATTATTTTATATTTGTTACTTATAATGTAGAACCTAATTCATTATTGAAGTGGAAACTGAACAAAGACACTTCCCTATACTTTCCAGCACATGTATTAGGTTTTATGTTGTACTATTCTTGACAAATAAAATGAAAATTTCAACTGTTCAACTACCAAATAAATTTTAACATCCAGCCAAACCAAACGTATTTCTAAATCCTGGTATGAACCTCCAGTGACAAGGTTTAATTCTTGGATCACCCATCTTGGCAGACTTCTCAGACCTACACTTCACTACAAAATTACCTTGGAGCTACAAAAGGGGATTTTAAATATACCTAGATGATGTTATTCCACTTTCTCGTGGATAAAGCTGTTGATTTTGTGGGTGAACCTTTAGATTGTAAGGTTTCATCCATCTTTATTTCCCTGTTAATGATATGCCAACATCAATTAAGTTTTATTTTCCTTTTTGTTTGTATTGGGGATCTCTTAATAATATCATTCACTTTCAGGTAAGAGCATTCATTGTTTTTGATTGGGTTGAGGGGTGGATTTGGAACCAATTACTATTTTTAATGTTCTGTTGTGATGAGTTTTCTTAGTTTTATGAAAATTGATAAATGCTTATTTCTCCAAAATGCTGTGTCAACTGGATTTACATTGTTTGTTAAAAATCTTGCTGTATGAATATTTCTCTTCAGGAAGACTTGTTAAACCCCCTCCGAGTGTCACATTATTGAGAACTTACCGTGACCAGATATACAGATGTTGAACATGTTGCTTGTGACATCACAGTTTGCATGTACAGCAACTTCACACTATACGAGAATATTTAAAGTGTTGCTAACAATTTTGTAGATAATAAAAGGACTATTACATTGTAACAACTCCAAACTTAAAAAATTTAATGATTGTTTGTATATTAAACAAAAAAGAACAAAATCATGTAATCAATTGCATTTAAAATCCAGTAACAAAACTACAAAAGATGCCCTCCCTCTCCACACAAAAAGAAATAAGTATCTAAAATACTAATGTTCTGTAATATATGTATTTTTCCTTTATTACATCTTGTCAGTTGGCTAAATATGAAATCTTTTTGTGTGTGTTTCAGATGTTTATAAACATTCTGCATAAACATAAGTACAAATAATTTTCCTCTCAAAGCTGGTGTATCTTGTCTATACCTTACATAGATTGCCTGTTTGCGGGATAGATTTGAAATTACAAAGATGACAGCTGTACAACAAAAGACTATTCCAGTGCTGCTTTCTGGAAGGAATGCCTTAGTGAAATCCTTGACAGGGTCTGGTAAGAGCCAGCATTAAAACAAAGTACTAGTGTTAAATACTATACAAATAAATGCATTGTGCTAATGAAAGTTAAAGATCACCTGACTATTTAAGAACATATTTAATTTTGAGCTTCTCAGTAATATGTTTTAATGCTTTCATTAAATTTAATGGTTACTAAAAGTCTTAATTAGCTCTTGTTTAATGTGTTACCAGTTTTATTGATGTCTGCTTCACCATAAGATTTTGCTTACTTTTTCACTCCAGTAAATTTTTTCTCACATGACACACTGATTTGATTGCCAGTATCTTGAAGCAGGATAAAATAAAACTCTGTCTGAATGTTTTAAGTTTTAAATTAGTTATTAAAGATAATAATGATGAAAACCAAAGCTTGGACAAAGTCATCTACTCAGAAACTTAGTAGGGCTGTACCAAAGTTGTTAGAGCCAAAGGGGGATGAATAAATAGGTATAAATAAATGAATATGCACACACATATATATATGTTTATATTATCACAGTCATTCATCAGAGGTACAAAATGAACAATATGATAGATTAAACATTGTTTATATTAGTTTATCTAATGTTTGATGTATCGTTCATCAGAAAACTTGTGTTTAAAGTTAAAAATACATATTTTAGAACATCATCCCTTGATTACCTAACTATAATTTCATGTTGTTGTGTGTTTTTTTTCAACGATGAATGAAGTTATTTTTAGTAAAAGTGTAATTTTGTTTTATTCCATGTCACATTTGAATTTGTCTTACAGGTAAAACTTTAGCTTATGCTATTCCAATCATTCAGAAATTGCAAGAAATTACTCCCCAATTAAAGAGGTCTGATGGAATACATGCTGTAGTGATTGCACCTACCAGAGAAGTGAGTGTTTCTTCATTCAAAATGGATTGAATTTTGGATGACATTAACTTTGGGTTCTGGCAAATATAGAAATCTATCGGTGCTTAGCTGAAATACATATTCTTTCCAAATGTTTGTGCAAAGATATTTGTGAAATTTTGGATATGAAAGTCATAATGCAAGACAAATGATGTGCGTGTGTGTCTTATGTAGCAGTTCTAAGGACTTTAATTTTGTAATCTCTGACTTATCTTGCAGCATGTCATTTTCTATAACAAGTTATTCTGTTGACCAGTTATATGGGAAGACAAGTAATTTTTCTAATTGAATCAACACACACATAAGTAGCACTGGTTGTCTTTCTTGAACGTGTAGCATGTCTCAAAATTCACCTTCCAACTTCACAACAGTGTGGATTACTTCACTGATTCACTTGCTTAATGTCATATGATGTCATGAAACAGACCATTTTTTTGTCAGGTCAATTATCTTTACTACCGTGGGGTTTTCTATAATATCTTTTCTGATGAAATCAAACAACATTCCTAAGCTTCCGAGTCCATACTGCAATACCCAATGTTATCAGAAGTTAAGCTGTTCTGATTTTTTCCCATGTGAAGGTTTTTCCCTTCGATTATGTGAAATCACAATTCCGAATCTTGTGATATTGGACATTTGTAACTCCTATCCTTTCAGACAGAACTACGAGAATACATCCATTCATTCTTTCTGTGGAAACCTTTTCCAGTATTTTGTTAGAACGAGATACAGTCATTTGATAATTGGCTTCCTAGTTTTCTGTCCTTTCAAGTATTTCATAACATTTTTTCATAGTATATGCACATATTTTTGTAAATAGACATCCAAAGTTGAGATTTGTCTCAAAGACTTACTAATGTCTAACTTGTGTTTGTATCACATTCTCACTTGTAAAGATGAAGTCAAGACACTTCAACACTGTGTGTAGTCACACTTTCTTATCTTAGCAACTTGTTAGATAATATTACAGAAGTCAGTGTCTTTTGTTAAGGGTAGTTTTTCTGCAGGGTTTAATGACAAGGCTATTTGTTTGGGTAAGACCGTCATGCAAAATTGGATCACTATTGAATAGGTCAATAAAATGATGCTAGTGAAAATTTTCCCTCTCAGGTTGTACTGACATACCTTTTGGGCTCATAAACTAAAAGATGCATTATTTCTATGCTGTTTTTCTACTGTGTATTATAAGTTAAATCTACATTATTTCTATAGTGTTTTTTTACTGTGTTATAGGTTAAATCTACATTATTTCTATAGTGTTTTTTTCCTGTGTGTTATAGGTTAAATCTACATTATTTCTATAGTGTTTTTTTCCTGTGTATTATAGGTTAAATCTACATTATTTCTATAGTGTTTTTCTACTGTGTATTATAAGTTAAATCTTCATTATTTCTATAGTGTTTTTCTACTGTGTATTATATGTTAAATTTACATTATTTCTATAGTGTTTTTCTACTGTGTATTATAGGTTAAATCTACATTATTTCTATAGTGTTTTTCTACTGTGTATTATAGGTTAAATCTACATTATTTCAATAGGGTTTTTTTTCCTGTGTATTATAGGTTAAATCTACATTATTTCTATAGTTTTTTTTTTCCTGTGTATTATAGGTTAAATCTACATTATTTCTGTAGTGTTTTTTTTCTGTGTATTATATGTTAAATCTACATTATTTCTATAGTGTTTTTTCCTGTGTGTTATAGGTTAAATCTACATTATTTCTATAGTGTTTTTCTACTGTGTTATAGGTTAAATCTACATTATTTCTATAGTGTTTTTTCCTGTGTGTTATAGGGTTAAAATCTACTTTATTTTTATAGTGTTTTTCTACTGTGTTTTATAGGGTGAAAATCTACATTATTTCTATAGTGTTTTTCTACTGTGTTATAGGTTAAATCTACATTATTTCTATAGTGTTTTTCTACTGTGTTATAGGTTAAATCTACATTATTTCTATAGTGTTT